CCCACCCCTGCCTGAGCCCTGGGGGCCCCACCGGGTGTCTGTCTCCTGCTCCCCAGCCGGAGCTGCCGGCCCTGCGGGCGGAGGGTTCCTGCCCAGCCGCGCGGGGCGCTGCGTACTCACCGCCCAGGAAGCCCAGCAGGAAGAGAGCCAGCAGCAGGGTGCAGCCCAGCCCGGTGCGCAGCGCGCCCTGCCTGCCGCCCATGGCTCCGGCCCGCAGGCGCTACGCGGGGCCGGGCTCCGCTCTGCCCGCAGAGCGCGCAGTGGTGCCCTGTCGGAGCAAAGCACAAGCCCGTGTGTGTGTGTGTGATGGGTCACGCGGAGGCCGCTGCCTGCTGGCCCGTCCCCTTTGGTCCCTCCTTGTTCCCGCTGGCCCCGCAGCGTGCCAAGGGAGGCTGGGCGGCAGGGCGCGGCTGCTCCACCAAGAGAGGCGCTGGGAGGAAATTCTTGCGGTGGCTTTGGGGGCTGTTTCTGTGATAAGGCTTAGTGGCGCCTTTGATCGAGCCCCTCAATCTGCTCCCCTCCAGCAGGGAATCTATCGCCCCCACAGGTGGGGAAATGGAGGTAGGGCGAGATTAAATGATGCCCAAGGCTGGACTGTAAGTGGCAGCACCAAGGATGCAGCCTGGTTCCCTTACATCTCTGCCCCCCCGGTTCCTTTTAAAACTTGGAGGCAAAATGTATTCCTTTATGGACATTTAAGATCAAACAAGTGTATTTCTTTCACATTCACAGACCAGAAAATAGTAGCAAGAAAAATACTCAGGGAGACACAAAGGTCCATCAGACAATTTGTGTACCTTTTCTCCCCGGCTTTTATTTAAAAGTTGCTTGTTTCTATATTCATTTGCCATTTGTTGTAGTGGAATGGGTTGTAACAGGAGATGAGGTTGATGAAGTTTATGTTGCAAGGGGAGAAAAGGCTGCCTCGTATGGTTTAGAGAAAACATTAAGGACTGTTACTGATTCTTTGTTATTTATCATCAGATTATCGCCAAGCATGTTATCAAACAGTTGTCCAGCTCTAAGTACAATGGAGTTCTGCTGTGAATAGTTGCAAAACTCATCCAATAAAGTTGAGTGAAACCAAAAGTTTCAAAATTGTTGCTTACAATCTGCAGTCCATGCATCATACCATGCATGATTGATTCTAAAGGCTCTTCCAACCAAATCTTGAAGTTTTTACTTAGCCAGATCTCCTATAGACTTGTTCCTATGTATGTGTGCAACTAGGTATAACATGCTGTGAGATAGGCCCAGGGATCCAGACACATTGCCTAAGGTAAGTGAGGGTATGTCTACACTACCCCGCTAGTTCGAACTAGCGGGGTAGTGTAGACATACCCATAGTGCGGTGTGGAATGAAGGTTCAACTGGCATTAATTTGGGATGACACATAATTTATTAGGGGTTTTGCCACACTTAGGTATAGGGCACCACATCCCAACTCAGGCTGATAAAATCTATTAATTTATAGTGTGTGTGTGTATTTAATGTAAGCATTTGTGCCTTTAGGAACAGTATTTGTTCACTTATATATGAAAGTTTGTTAGGTTTGTGTAGGCCACGCATGTAGTGTTATAAACTCCACCTCTCCCTGCTGATTGGTCATTAGTAGCTCACTACAAGCCCGGGAAATTCAAATCCCGGGCTTCATTAGCAAGTGCGGTATGCATACATTACCCTCCTAGTTCGAACTAGGAGGGTAGTGTAGACATACCCTGGAAGAGTTTCTAGCCAATTGCACACTTTCCCTTTAAAGCATTTTAGGGCCCTGCTCCTAAAGGTGAACTCCTGTATTCATGCAGAGTCTCACTGAAGCTAAGAGATGCAAAGACCTAACCACACTGGATCCAGTTATTGTATGAGGTTACATGTTAAGGTTGATGGTGTGAAAGCTTCCTGGAGACCCCTGGACATGGCCTGTCACCACCACATAGAAGGAGTGAGCCCAGCCAGGAACATTAAAAGAAATGGCTGGGCTCCACGTCTCACTCCTTCCTCAAGCACAGGCAGCTGAGCTGAAGACATTGAAAAGCAGGTGGAAGATCTGATTAATGTTCATATCACTTCCCAGGGACTCAGCAGTTCCTCTGCAGAACAATAATTACAGTTATATCACTTGGAGACTGTGGTCTCAATCACTCCATGGCTTTAACCCATCTTAGATCGTGGCTGGTTTTCTTGAACACATGAGAAACATGTCTAGTTTTGCAATTACTTATCATTGTTTGTAACCACTTGATGACAGCCTGCAAAGCTCCCTCCAGAAGTCAGAGCAGAGAAACCTTCATTTGAGATGCCAGCTGAAATTCCACCTACAGAAAGTAAAGGGATGGCATCACATGGTGTATTATTAGCGTATATGTAGCACCACAGGTGCCTGGGTGGCATTTAACAGACAGCATGCTAACAGATTTCTGCTTTTAGGCGTTTATAATTGAAGTCCATAATCCTCATGTGATGATGAGCAAGGAAGTGGGAGGGGAGGATGAGAATAGCAGTATCAACAGTTAGAAAGTACAACATGAATTTATTGCTATGTCTGGGTCTGTTCAGTGTCACAACCAATAGCAGGGGTCAACAATGGAGACTAAATCTTGAAGACCAAGTGTAAAAGCAGCTCTTCCACTTCAGCTAGTCTTAATTCCTTTATCTGACAGTGAGAGTAGACTCTAATCCAGTGTTTCTTAAACTGTGTTCTGTGGCACACTGGTGTGCCGTGGAGAACAGAGTTCAAAATGGCCACCCTTAAAGATGCAGGTGACCCCCCCGCCACCCCCCCTTTTTTTTGTTCAACAAAAAATCCTTGGTGTTCTTCATAAAAAAAATTGTTTGGTGTTCCTCGGTCTTAAAAAGTTTAAAAAACACTGCTCTAATCTGTAGACTAGCCAATAGAAGGCCACAGACTCTTTAGCCATTTATTTATTAGTATAATATATTAAAATATTGTCCTGTGACTATAATAAAGGGTGAGGTGGAGATTGGTGTAAGGAGAGTTCCCAACCAAGCATCTATCTCACTCTCTCTCACACACACATAGCTTTTATAATCAAGAGATCATACATGTTACTGCTGATGTAAAAAAACCCTCACAATATTAACAGGGATGTTTTGTTAAGTGTTTGCTAATTATTTACATCCCTTGCTTGGCCTGCTGTAACTAGATGGCTCCATTAACTGGAACAAGTCAAATATTAAGCCTTGCTTCACTTTTTGTTTATAAATGCCCAATGTTATACTTATTCTTTCCATTTAAATTGTAATGCTGGAAAAGGAGGCAAACTGTAGAAAGTTATTCAGCACACTCGCCCCCTATTCCTGGTTGTTCCTAAGCCTCACGCATCAGCATCAGCATTCAACAGCATGTGTAAAGGAACTTCCAAACCAAAGAGTTATTCAGGCAGCTAGGCACAAGCTGGCTATGAAGGGAAGAGGAGCCACTGCTCTGCTCTTGTGTGTCCAATAATGCCACTGTTCACACTAGCCTGAAGCAGCCACGGAAGGAAAGCAAGGATTGTGTTGTGGTTGTCCAGTTTCTGTGTGATGATGGAAGCAAGAAGCAATTTAGAAAGAGGCCAACTCTTTGTATACTCTCCTCCATTTTCCCCTGAGACGTAATCTGATCTTTACAGGACTAGACATAATCTGACCTTTTACTTTTTAAAAAAATGTTGTTCAGGCACATCAGACAGTCTAAGGAATCAATTTCATTTTCCTGTGCTCACACAGCTGAGACCACTATAGAGAGCTGAGGTGAGGAGGAGGGAGAGCAGGAGGAAAACCCAGGACAGAGAAAAGGAATGCTCAGTAAACCACAGCTTTAGATAAACATCAGATACAGAAAAGCAGCTGGATGATATAATGTGCCAGACCTACTCCATTATTTTTAGCTACACAATCTGAGGGCCTCATTTATGAAGAAAGACTAAGAGCTAAGTATGCACAGCAGGGCTAAAAGGTAACTGTAGGTAGGGGATAACTATGTAACCAAAGGGTGCAAACATGAAGGAGTGAGAGGAATAGTTTATGGCGCAACAAAGAGTTTGAAATTGGGGGAATGTCATCATGAAAGTGAGATACTAAATATGGAAGAATCTTCCCAAGAGACCTGTTGGACACCTCATTTCCTGGGTCATTTAAAATTGGCATGTCAAAGGACAAGGAACAACCCCCAAAAGAGAAATCCAAGAGGCAGGCAATGGGTGAGGTGACATAACTTTAAAAGTGTTTCTCCCTCTGACTTGAGTTGGAACTACAGCTGCTGATCATATGAGTAAGCTGCATACCAGACTCATACACGTTTAAATTTCTGCTTTCTTCTTGAAATCAATTTTTTTCTTTTTCTTCAAATTTCACAGCAAGCAAGTGTGCTGTACTTAGAGCAAAATTTGAAAGGTGTATCTAAGGAAAACAGTAATAATTTGGCCTTTTCAATGTCATCTGTATTTAGGGTTGCCAGATGGTCTCCCAAAAAATACTGGACACATGGTATCTTTTGGTCAAGGAAAAAAGAAAAAAAAGGAACGCGGGATAAGCGGCGATCGCAACACCCCCGCCTCCCAGCTGGGACTCCCAGGCTGGGAGGCAGGGCCACTATCAGCGCTGGGAGCCTGTGATTGCTCAGAAGCCTGGCGGGGGCAGGGAGAGTGGCTGGGATGCAGGGCTGTGATCGGCGCTGGGAGCCTGTGGTAGTGTGCAAAAGCCTGGCTGGGAGGCGGGGTGCAATCAGCGCTGGGAGCCCTCAGCTGATTGCGTCTGAGGTGGAGTGATGCGTTGGGGAGGAGGAGGGGCCCTGTCCCTGCTCCTGAGCGCTGGTCAAGCACGTTGTGGCGCTGTAGTAGGAGCCGTAGGTGCTTTGTAGTTGAGTTTAGGCGCCTTCCTTGAGTTCTCAGCCAAAACTGACTGGGGTAGAATTTCTGCTTCTTCCCACTGGGATACCCAAAGACCTGGCTCTGCCCCCGCCAGGCTTCTGCACAATCACAGGCTCCTAGTGCCGATCGTGGTCCCGCCTTCCAGCCACTCCACCCGCCCACGCCAAGCTTCTGTTCGGAGCGCAGCCAGAAAAATCAGAGACTACCGGACATTGCACATGTCCGGTATTCTCTGATTTTTTTACCGGACAAAGCGCACAAATACCGGACTATCCAGTAGAATACCAGACACCGGGCAACCCTATGTATTGCCTTTGCTTCTAATTGCTGGCACATGAGAAATACCTTGAAAAGAGCCATACAAATGCATTTAGGTAGAAATATCTTTTGCATAGATCAACAGATTATCATCTTCAGACTGAAAGCCTATTTTTGTTAGGCATTTCACGGCTGACATTTATTGCTCTGACCCACCTTTTTATTAATAGTGCCTGGCAGGTTTCTTGTTTAATCTTTTTTGAATGGCTTCCAGATGTTAAGAGAAAAGTAACCTAGATGAGACACCTGAGGTCTCAGCTCAGAACTCTCCATGATCACTTCCATTCACCTTGCCATCTGTGACATGGTTTCAAGAAGACAGTTCCATCTCATTGAGTGACTCCTTTTGTAATAGAGGAGTGGAAGGGGCATCTCCTATAGGATATTTATGTAACCCTACAGGAAATTCTAGAAAGTTAACTGATATGTTACAAAGTGCTGGAAATAAGCATGACTGTTCTGTCTTTATAGATCAGGCCTATAAACTAAATTAATTATATTGCACAACTATGAGACTAAAATAATTGTGATTTCTGCATTTTAAGTAGAGAGGAAAACAAGGGGGGGATGCATGTGGCTATTTGAAATGAATGTCTTTTAATTAGTAGTTCACTTCAACAATGATTTCAACTCCCCTCTCTCCTAACAGTTTCAAAGGAATCATATCTTATTAATATTGTTAAAGGTAATGAAAGTGAGTGAGGGAGACTGTCTGGAGTGTATTATTTTCAAAGAATGAGGTTTTTAACATAATTCTGCTCATGTCTCTAAATGCTCTGTTTCTGAGGACTCCACAGCTGTCAACTCCAGTCTTTCCTTTTTGATTATGTTGCTGATATGTCTATACTACTTCCTTCAGAGTCCCAGCTGCAGCCTGCACAGTGAAGGTTGCAATGGAGATCTGCCTCTTTACTTCTTCCCAGGCTTTGTGCTGATCCTCATGGTGGTCAATATCAAACATGGCATCATAGATCCCTGGGAATGACTCTCCAGCGTACTTGTTGTGGCTGCTCGGAGCAAAAACAATGTGTCTGTGGGGGAAGAGAAAAAATACTGCAAATTATGAAAACATAACAAAAGTTTGTTTTATGAATCAATCCTTATCCAACAAATGTATCAGCTTTCAAAGCAAATCCTTGGTAGCAGGGATGCAGATAAATATCCTTGTGGCAATGATGCCCTACACTGCAAAAAGCAAGAATACAAATATTTAAGTACATCCACAAATGCACTAAATTAGTCCATGTGAATGCCAGTGTTGCAGAGGAGCAGAGATACAAATTATAAATGTTTTTTTTCTTCCCCAGTGTTTTTGATTAAAGGGAAAAAACAACCAACCAATCACAGTTGCTGGCAGCTCAAGAATACTTTGAGTTAGGAAGGCTGATGCTTAAAGGGTCAATAAACTGGCCTTCACAGATATTGTTGCTAACAGAGGTTGTTAAAATACAAGGATTGTAAATCTTAATCTCAGTTTTCTCTTGCCAGGCTGCTTGTTTCAAGAAAAGTGAATGTTCTGCACTGTGCTGAAGTGGGAGAAAAATAGAGAAGGTTTTAACTAGTCTGCCCACAAAAAAAATTCAACAGTTCTGTTCAAATGTTAGAGATCAGCAAATATATTTTCCTACTTCTGCAATGCTTGTGCTTTTGTAACTGCCACCAAGCAGATTTGAACCTGGGACCTTTGGAGTTTAATAGAGGAGTTCCTACAGCCTGAGCTATAAAATCAGCAGAGCTCAGACCATCCTGTAGAGGTTTCTTGGTCTTACCTGTTGCTGTGGTCTAGGTGCCACTGCATGAGATAGCGAAACACACCAGCTAGGCTACATCTACACTGCAGGCTTCTTGCGCAAGAACTTTTTGTGGAAGAGATGTTCTACAACAAGTTCTTCTGCAAGAACGCGTCCACACTGCCATGTGCTTTTGCACAAGAGATGTGCTTTTGTGCAAAAGAGTGTTCACACTGCTATGGACGCTCTTGCTTAAGAAAGCTCTGATGGCCATTCACAGAGCACCTGGGCTTTTTCCTGTTGTCTGTCCACACACGCCTTTTTGCACAAGAGGTCTTGCACAAAAAGGCTTATTCTCATAGAAAGAGGAATAACTCTTCCACAAAAAGCCCTGTCTTTTGATGATCTACTGTACTTTTTCTTGCGCAAAAATGCGCTTGTAGTGTGGAGGCTCTGTGAGTTTTTGTGCAAAACCAGCTGGTTTTGTGCAAAAACTCTGCAGTATAGATGTAGCCTCGGTGTGAGTTATACTTTCACTATATTTTGTACTACTATGATCGGCCTAATGCTAACTGTTCCAAGTGTTAGAGCATGATCCACTTTTTTTTTTAAAGAGAATGTTAAGGCTTGAGACTACATTGCTTTGAAGTTTTGGAGTGGACTTTAATGGGAACAGGAATAAATGCTCAGGACTTGATCCACTGAAATCAGTGCAAGCACTCCTATTAACTTTAACAGTCTTTGGATCAGGCTGAATTTTACCCCAATATTCCCTTTCTTTTTCATTATACTGTTAGTCTTATTTATGTCCCCTTTTCCCATACTAAATAATACCTCTTCTTTCTTTTTCCCATTCTTCAGATAACTGTAAATCATTAATGGTTGACATTTTTCAGAATTCTTAGGCAAAAGAACAAGTAAAGTTTGATGTAGATAATGTTTTCCTACCTGTAAAAGGGCCTGCCAGGTAAACCCAGAGGATCAATAAAGGCCCTTTCTAAAAACATGAGCTGATCATTCAATGACCTTATTGTTACTGGGCTGAAAAGAAAACAATAGATTGTCTTAGCTCCACAGTACTCTGTATATGCACATCCTAGACTAAAATTTCCACAGCTTCAGATGTACAATATATATCTAAAAACAGTGTGCAGAATGTAATGAGTTTAACATCTGTGAAGTCAATCACAGTTAAGTCAATGGACCTACCTTAATTTACCCTGATGATCTGACAAATAATGTGGAGGTTCTGTAAGGCTATTCTTAGGTGCTAAGGAATGTGTTGTAAGAAGGACTGGAAAACTAAATGTTTTCTTCCACACTGCCCCTTATACCAGAAACTTTCTTCTCCCATCAAGACAACTCCCTTGCCGTACAATTCCTTTTTTAATACTCATTTATTCCATGAACACTGTCAAAATCAAGCAACTTCAGAAAAAATGCATGTGTTTTTACTCCAATGAACTTCTCAACACCAAAAAAATGAAGTTAGAAAATTTTTGGGGTTGGTATGTGAATTGTGTTGCCTGAATTGTTCTCTGTGTTTATTTATAATGCAAATTTCTTACAGCAGACACCATGGTTACCAGTGTGCTTTGTACAGCAACAAGCACTCTACTGATGCTTAACAAACAATAGATAATGTATTTACCTATGGTACAGGAAAACAGTGTACAATGTGACATACTGCTGACCTTTGCAGTGGAATCCTTAGGGCAAAATCTTAGCTACCACAGCATAAAGCTGGAATTACTCCACTGTAATCACCTCCAAATGTACATCAGTTAAAACAAAAACAGAATTTGGTCACTGATTAACTTCAACTCAACTTCTGTTAATATAATTGCTCTTGGACTGATGTGTCCCGTTTGGCATGTGTTGCAACATACAACCCATTACAAATCTTTTGCTGTATGGAATGGTCAAGGTTAATAGTATTTGATCTTAAAAAAGACACCAAATGTCTCTTTTAAAAAAAACCACTGAAATAAAGTTTAGCTAGAGTCCATTTGTTTCTACTATATTTCATTGGTTCCAGAAAATAAAACAGAGGAAAGCAAAACCAACCATTCTGCTAAATAAAAACATCCCAGTTGTTTACAAATGGTAAACCTTAAATGTAAGCCTTGTGACTGATAATGAACAGTAATTCATGTTCCTAGCATTAGGGAGAGGGGCTGCAAAAATCAAAATAAGTAGAAAAAGAGACAAGAAAACATCCTGTTATGTCCAAATAGGATGTAAAACAAACAGCTGACCTACTGCACAACCAGCTTTAATGTTAGGACTGGTTTAGGCTAGGACTGTCAAGCAATTAAAAAATGTAATTGCGATTAATTGCACAATTAATCGCATGCGCCTCCCCTTTGAAACGCTGCAGTGGCGTTTCAACAGGGCAGCGCTGCATGAAGCCTGGGATCATCTGGAGTCCCCAGCTGCCTCCTGGCTCCATGCAACGCTGCCCCCTGGAAGCGCCGCGGCAGTGTTTCCAAGGGGCAGTGCATTAGGAACCTGGGATCAGCTGGGGACTCAAGCTGATCTCTGGCTCCAATATTGCAAAGTCCCTTTGGGGCGGCACTTCAAAGGGGCTTTGCAACAGCAGAGCCCCAGCTGATCCCAGCTCCATGTTGCAAAGCCCCTTTGAAGTGCCGCTCCAGCACTTCAAAGGGGCAGCTCAGCATTAATGCCTGCGATTAACGCATTACAAAAATTAACGTGTTAATCCTGTCTTGCGTTAATCGCAGGTCAATTGAGACGCCTAGTTTAGACTATTAAAATCAGCAGCCTTTTAGAATTAATATGTTGCACCATCAGCACTCTGAGCAGCCCTAGTACCAAAGAGATAATCACACAAATTAGTCAAATTAGTTAAATTCAGAATAGCCACGATTAGAAGGCCAACAGCTATCCTAGATCTATTTCTACCACTAATTCTAGTAGTAAGGTCCTTTCCACCACTCTAGCTGTGGGTCATAAAATGAGATCATGCAAGTGTAAATAAGAATCTGGCACTCTTAATACAACCAAAAACTGGATCTACATTTGTGCTTGAATGGTGGTGACCCAATTATTTCAAGCCTTAAAAGGACCCAATTGGTATTACCCTCCCTTCTATTAATGGGCACTTGTCAATGAGATAGTTCATGCAAGTGTTCACAGCAGGAGTGAGGGCTGCCCAATTAGGCCAAAATAATTTAATTATTTGTTTTGATGGCTAAGGAACCTGTAGAACTTACTTATTGATGTCTGCTTGCTGCAGTCTTCTGTGAAAGTCAGTGGCTGCTTCCGAAAAATTCTTCACAGCAGAAAAGAGAGAGTCTGGAGAGATGGAGAAGGAATAGCTTGACTGTGAAGCAGTATTCCCTGTAAGTTGCATGCTTTTGTGGCTGCTCAGGAGAGATTCTAATGGTGCCTAGCCAATTAGCAGAACATCTGCAGCTAGGTTTTTTGTTCTACTGGTAGTGCACATTCCTCAGTTCACATAACAAAATTTATTCTGCACACTGATGGAAAACTCAGCATATGGATGAAAAAGATTAGAGAGAACATCGCCTTGAAGTCTGTTTAGCTTTGGCCAATGAACCAACAACATGATCATCCTAATTCTAATAAAACAAAAGGCAACATAAAGCATGCCTGCAGTTCATACACTCCCATGTCAAACATCAAAAAAGCCCTCATACTCTCATGATTGCATGAGATGGTGAGAGCTGACAGAGCTTGCATGAAGGTGCCTTTTTTTTTTTTTTTTTTTTTTTTAAAAGTGATCGGTTTTTTGAAGAATGATTTAAAAATAAAGAAGGCCTGGCCTACACTCATTTTTTATACCAGTACAAGTCCTAGTGGAGACATGATTATACCAGTAAAAAGGTGCCCTATACTAGGGATGTGAAGGAGTAGTCAACCACCCGATAACCAGGAGTTTATCAGGTAGCACTATCGAATACTGTATCACTCCCTCTCTCTTCCCCCAACCCCCACTCTTAAAGGGACTAGGAGGAGCCAGTGTGCAAAGATGCTGGCTCATTCTCTGGTTCCCCGCCAGGTCTCAGGACAACCCTCACGTTTCCACTCTGCATTTTTAAAAAGGATGCAGCAGCAGCAGCCCCCCGCCATTCCCCGACCTCCCTGACGCTGGCCCCTGCATTGTTAAAGGGATGCAGCAGCGGCAGCCTGTCCGCTTGTCTGTGTCAGTGCAAGCCAGCTGCTGATGCTGTGTCCGTTTTAAAAATGCAGAGGGGAAGGTTGACGGGAGTCAGGGGGCCAGCTGCTGCTGCCGTGTCCCTTTAAAAATGCAGACTGGCAGCGTGGAAGTTGTCCTGAGACTCGGCGGGGGACCAGAGAATGAGCCGGCATCTCAGCATGGATGCATGTCCACTAGAATAGTGGTTGAAACATGAAGGGACATACGAATTTTTAATGCATTTGGCATGTAAATATATTGAGACACCAGCTACAACAGTGCAATGCAAACACCTATAATCACTTTCAGGTGACATTGTGAACAAGAAGCAGGGGGCAGCATTATCCCTTACAAATGTAAACAAACTTGTTGGTCTTAGCGATTATCTGAACAAGAAATAGAACGGAGTGGACTTGTGCAGTCTGTCTTACTTTTGAATAATATTATTTTTTGTACATAATTCTATCTTTGCAAGTTCAACTTTCACGATAAAGAGATTGTACTACAGCATTTGTATTAGGTAAATTGAAAAATACTCTATTTTTACAGTGCAAAATATTGGTAATAAAAATATAAAATGAGCACTATACATTTTGAATCCTGTGTTGTAACTGAAATCAATATATTTAAAAACAAGAAAATGAAATATTTAAATAGAGGGTATTTTATTATTGTTTCAGTGTGGGTAATCATGATTAATTTTTGAATTGCTTGACAATCTTGGTTTTTTTAAAGCAGCCAATTTTTGTATCTGCTTTGTTTTCTGGTGTTTGAGCCTTTAGTAATAGATTATTCTAAGCTTGTCCCTTCAACCAGCAGGACTAAAGATTTAATTTTTGTTTTAAATTAAAGCTAAGGTTTCCTCCACTGTCAGGCTTGTACAGTTACATATTGCAATTGCCAATTAGGTTGGGCTTTCTGCATTATAACAGGTTTATTTCAAGTGATATTCAAGGGCCTACAGAAATTAGGTACTTGGTTGCTTTTTTAAAAATAAACTGAAATAAAATCATTATTTTAATTAGATTTGTAATTTTCTGGGGGGCAGGGATTGTTTTGTTCTGTTTATGCAGCACCTATCACAGTGGTTCATGACTAGGGATTCTACTTGCTATTCCAAAACAAGTAATGAATAATAATAATAAGAGTGATCTGGCAGAGGGTTATACATACCAAATGACACACTGTATGTTGTCATTTCTGTTTGATGATTCTTTGACACATTATAGACAATTTCAGCATAGTTCCTTAAAGCCTCTGCATAATATCTGCAGTCAAAGGGAAGGACCACAGAGTCAGCCAGTTCAAACACCAGACCTCCTCGCACCTTTGCTACTGTCAGGTGATTCTTAAAAGTTGGATCATAAAATCTCTCCACGATCTCATAGGTCTCATAGACACTGTGGTAAACTGGGTAGTTACTGTATTTTTCCACTCTCTGAAAAAAAAAAGAATTAAAAAAACCTGTTACTTATAATGCTGGTTTGGACAGCTTCACTATGCTGCAAAACATTTACGCTTGTGTGTCTGGATCACAGCCATCCTCTTTGTTTATATTTTCAATATTTCTCTTCATAGGGGAAGACCTTGTTAAAAAGACTGTGATTTGTTATATTATTGCAGTTGTGCACGTCCCTCAATGAGGGCACACAAGAATCAAAACAATCATGGTTATAAAGAACCACCACTTCAGCATTCAATGATTCTTAGAACACCTAGCCATAAGCAATTCTGTGTCATTACCCTGTCATTTACTTTGAACTAAGTCCCCTTAACGTTTCAGTTAGTTGATGTCACAATTATTATCATCACAATGTATGAATTGTTGGGGTAACAGCTAGGTGCCTCACTCCTGGGGCAAGACCCCATTGTGGTAGATACTATACAAATGAAGAGCAAAAAAGCAGTCTCAACTCCAAAGAGCTGATAGTCTAAGTTGTTGACTCTCAGCTGATGGTATTCAGAATGTCACAAAGGACAGTGATGAGATGGTGGGACGACAGACTTACCCAGTTTTTGCTGTAACGTGCTCTGCCTGAAGCAATGCCAATCCGCTGAAAAAAGACTTCAAAGTCATTGCCAGAACCCAGCTTATTTATTCTTTTGACAAGAAAAAGGAACAGATCTTGAGTAAAATATTTGAATACAATTTTTAGTATGTTTCCAAGCCATGTATTAATGAACTCCTGTCTTGTCTCCTGCCAATTCTATCCCCTCTCCCCCCC